TAATAAATAAAAATAAATAAATATTAAAAAAAAATAGAAAAGTGGATACAGGGCTTTATTATCTGCTCTCAGGAGGACACAAATCCCCTGTAGAGATGCCAGCTGAATAAACTACTCTTTGTTCCTAAAACTTCTAGTCTTGTTGGTTCTGTAGCAGATCCCATGCCATTTCCTGCTTCAGTGTAACTTGGGATGAAGTTCTTTTTTATAGTTCTAAAGTTACAGGAGGGGCCGGGCAGATGGCTCAGTGGAATAAGCGCTTCCCTGGCAAGCGCAAGGGCCTGAGTTCAATACCCGGTTCTGCCAAAAAAAAAAAATAAAAAATAAAAAAAATAAAGTTACAGGACTTATTGGGTAGATAGGCATACCTAAGGAACTCAGTAGTGCACCACACCTATCTCCACGATGCACATAGTCCAGCATATGGACTATGGGGCATCTTCTTCAAGGAGATGGAAGTACTTTCCTGCTGTACTTGTTTCAGGAGAGTCACATTTCCATGTGGTATGACTTGACACACGTCAAAGTTCAAAGCTGAGGGCACATTGTTGGTAAATTTGCACAGAGTAAGTAAGGGAAAAATAAAGAGAAGGAGGAAAACAACAATTGAATGTGCTTTAAAATTATCAAGTGTCAGCACTGTGGGATGCTATCCATTGCTTGTCTTGTGGTAGTGTTGATATTGCCTTGATGTGGGTATGGTGAGACCATCATTGCTCAGCTGTTTGAACTGTAGTCTTGGTTGTGAGGAATACAGGGAAGGGTCTTCCCAGGCTGTTCTGAGTTTGTCATTTTGCCACAATTTAATCAGCATGTGGTCATCTAGTTGGTGATGTATTGGAAAATCAAGGGGCAGGATCTGGGCCAGAAGTCCACTTTGCCTAAGGCAATGGAGGATAGAGGACAAAATAAGCAAATAATTTCTTAAAAATTGATCTTTGTTTCAAAAGTGGGCGGGTCTGAAGGCTTTCTGAGATAAGGAAGGTTCTACAGCAATTAATATGGAGATCGCCCAATATATTTTCTGAGGACTATTCTGATCCTGAGAGACACTCTTCAATGGGGAGACACTTGGTTCACGGTAAGCAAGTTTCTACCATTAGTTTGGTCAAGTGGGTTTTAAAAACTTGATTCATTCTTTCTACTTGGCCAGAGGAAGGTAGGTGCCAAAAGGTGTAGTCCCAGTTTATGCTCAGCTTCCTGGTGAGTTCCTTAATTATGTGTGCCATGAAGTGGCTTCCATTGTCCGAGTCTACATTTTCAATTATCCCAAATCTTGGAGCTATCTGTTCTAACAGGATTTTTAGTGCATTACCCACTGCTGTGATGGGCAAAGAAATAGCCTCTGCCTAATGTGTCAAGTAATATACTATGACCAGTAAATATTTGAGCTGTCCTGTTTTGGGTCTCTCAGTATAAACAAGCTGTATATTCTGAGATCTTAATCCTCAACCTCTTTCTTCAGTTACTGATTTTCTTAGAGCCTGTTTGTTAGATTGTGTTTTTTTTTAAGAGGCTAGATAATTTTTCATTTGCTTAACTAATGTACAGATGCCCCTGCATCCATAGAGTACATGGATGGGGGACTCCAATGGCTTTCCTGTTAAGACCTCTCCCCTGAGAGGTTGAGACATTTCTCTCCTTTCTGGAGGAAACCATCTTCCCTCAGTGTCAGGTTATACCTCTCTGGTTGTTGTAGTTGTTTTTCTCTCTCAGAAAAGAAAGATGGCACTGTCAATTTGGGGAAGAAGGAATAAGATGGAAAAGGTAGGAGTCTTGGATTCTAGAGTCACTCTTTTGGCCTCCTTTTCTGTCAAGGAATTGACCTGAGCCTCAAAACAGCTTCCTTTGATGTACTGGCACATGCATCACTGCTGTTTTCTCTGGGAGTTGGACATTGTCAAGGACTTCTTTGATTAATTCTCCATGGACTAACTTTTTCTTTTGCTGTCAATGAGGCTCTTCTCCATCTAGATCTTTCCAAAAGTTTGAACCACCCTGAAAGAGTACTTGTAATCCGTGTTGATGGTTCTAGTTCCTTCTAAGTTTCTGTCTCCCACCCAAACAAATCTAATTAACAAGTCACATACCCAGCCCTACTCCAATCCAAACTGTGGCCAGAAGACAGGGTAAAGATACAGTTTTCTGTCCAGAAAAAAACAGCAATAACTAACCATTCGAGCTTTTTTTCATCCATGGTTGTCACCCCTAGTTTTCAGCATCAGCCCAAGGGGACTACCAGGGGACATGTTGTTACTTGGGGCCTGTTTCCCTTCTCTGTCCCAATTGAGAGGCATATTTATTTCCCATTGTGTTTGTTCAGAAGTTGAGGCTCAATCTCTAGTGTCCATCTGAGATCTCCAGTGTTGTCAGATATGTTTGGTTTCACCCCAAACCTTTGGCACCACCCAAGACTTCGCCAATCTCACCCAAGATCCTACTGACTTCACCTGAAATCACCATGGAATAGGAACAGAATAACCAGACCACAAGGCAGTATTTGTCTTCCCCCACAATTTTTCTTACCTTGGCTATGCACAGAGTTGCCTCGCTGTCCAGTTGTTGCCTCCCTTTGGGATCCCTTTTGTCAAGAAACCCTTACCATGTCCTCAATCCAGGGATCTGAGTCCCACTCTGGAAGCTACTTGAAAAGAGGTTGTATCTCCTCCACCATGTTGGTTGGGAATAAGACCCTAGATTCACTTTGTTGGTGCCAAAAAAATGCACCCAGACACAGAACAAGAAGTTTAGTTTTTCTTCTGCAGAAGAAAACAAGCTTGAGGTAATAGGAACCCATACCCATGAAATAAAGGCCAGCTCTTTCATCCTAACACAGGAGGGATAGCTGGCCTGTTTCCCTACTGTCTCAGTAGAAAGTTTACAATCTGTCCTGATTGGACAACTCAGGCAGCATGGGAGAAATCAGAAAAGTTACAGAGGGGGAAGGGTGCAGAGAGAAGGGAGAATATGTTGAACAGAAAGTCCATGACTCCTGATAAGCAATTCTTGGTTTATAGCTGTGTGCCCTGGGTTTGCACTGAGTAGGCAACTTTGACTGGTGTGTCCAGCAAAGGCTGGACAGGTAGAGCCAGAGCCTGAGACAAAGACAATCCTGTTTGATAAAAAAGACAGGTCTTACTGTCTTCTACATTCTAGATTTAAACCATAACAGTATCCATTTTTTATAAACTACGTGCCCATTAAGTCACTTGGTTGCTGTCTTGGCCATGTATTACTACATCTGTAAAGCATCTCTTGTGTTCAAGTAACTCTTTTTTTACTCAATAATGCTCCAGTGTACAAGAGATCTGCTGGCGATTTGGATATGCAAAGGACAAGTCAGAGTGGTTCCTTGAAGTAAAAGGTGGAAGCTTTTAAGTGTGTGTGTGTGAGTGTGTGTGTGTGTATATGTGTGTAAAAGGGAGAGAATCACATACTGAGATTGTTAAGATCTATGGTTAAGGATTCTATCTGTAAAATTATAAGTGGGAAAATCATGGTAGTTTTGCTCTTGTACCTCAATCTGCAAGATACAGCCTTGCTGCATGTTAAATGATTGGTTAAGACAATGCATTATATTATACAGTTTAATAATTGTAAGGTTTTAAGAATCCATTGTGGGTCTTCAGACATATATCCTATCTACAGGGGGCCACTGATATATTTACTAGAAATCATTACATCAAAGTTGCCATTTTTGTTCAGATGATTATATGAGGGACTAGAAAAAGTCTTCACACTTGATATCAGAAAACTTCTTTTTAAAACTGTTTCACATATTTAGAAGCTGTGATTAAATGGCAGTGAAGAAGGAATTTCAAAGAAATGAAGTTTATGGGCTGCATTACTGAAAGGGAAAAATAAGTCAGCAGTTCCTTTTTATACCACAGGACCTTGCACAAAATCATCTTCACGAGGACAATCAAAACTAGACTAATTAAAATAAACTGAGAAAAGGGGCAATGGAATTACCTAGTAAGTTTAATACCAGAATGACATGGCATGTTTACACATAAGAAATTTATACCCAGATATCTAGCATCATCACAAGATAAGACTCTGGTTGTCAGCAGATAAATGTTCAATCAATATAAATACTGATAAAGATATGGAGACTTAAGTTTTTCCTACATTCCTTAAAATACTTTTTTTTTCTTTGATGGTACCATGGATTGAACTCAGGAACTTATGCTTGCTGGGCAAGCATTTATTCTACTGAGCCATTTCCCTGGCCCAAAATACTTCTAATATACAGATAGAAATTTGGACTCAATAAAGTTTTTTTTTTTAATTTGTTTATTTTGTTTGTGTGTGTGGCCAGCTCAGCCCACCAGGGGGCGGGGCTGGCTGGCATGTGGTGCTGGGGGATTGAACCGCGGTCCCTGTGCTTTGCTTAGCTTAGCATGTTCTAAGTAGGTGCTTTAGACCACTGAGCCATCTCACCAGCCCCTCAATAAAGTTTTAAGATTCTAAGACTCATTTCCTTCTGAATTTTGATTGAATACCTCCCCGACCTTATTTTTAAAATACACAAATTCTTCATTAATGTTATTAAACATTTTTTTTATAAACATTTCTCAGGGCTGGAAAGTTAGCTCAGCAGTCTAAGCAAGTGCAAGGACCCAGGTTCGACGCCTGGTACCATACGCCAGCCCTGGAACCCTAGGCACACTGCATTGGCCAACAAAATTGGGTGTGGTGGTGCACACCTGTAACCCAAGCACTGGGGATGCTGAGACAGGAAGATCACTACAAGTCCAAGCTGTGTAGTGAGACCCTGTGCCAAATAATGATTTTAAAAAATTAAAAATAAAAACAAAGCAAAGATACAACTCTCTTGTAGATTATGTCTGAATAAATGACTAGAGTGTTCATTAAATTGTATTACATAGGAATTTATTTTTATTGTTGACTACATTCTGTAAAAATATCCACATTGAAGGTTTTCCCCCAACTCTGAGAACTACTCATTACAAATTTTAGTTTTAGTAATGTCTGAGATCTGAGCTAAATTTTCACCATAAGAATTAAACTAGTTTTCTCCCTAGTATTTTTTCCAAATAATGTACCATGATTGTTAAACATTGATTAAAATACTTCATATTCATCAATAGCATTCATAGGATTGTTGTTCTGGCATAGTATCTGTGGTATTCAATAGAGTTGGTGTACATGCTAAAGTTTCTTCCACACTCATTACATTTAAACTGTCTTCCCCAGAATGTAATTTCTCATGATTGATAAAATCAGAGAGTTGGCTAAAACTTCTGTCACACTCAACACATTGATAGTACTTCTCCTTAGTGTGGATTCTCTGGTGTTCAGTAAAACCTATGCCTGTGCTGAAGGTTTTCCCACATACATCACATTTATATGGCTTCCCACCAGTGTGGACTTTTCGATGATTAGTGAGATCAGAGCGCCTACTAAAGTTTTTACCACACTGATCACATGAATATGGTTTCTCCCCAGTGTGGATTCTCTGATGCAAAATAAGAGCTGAACATTGACTAAAAGCCTTCCCACACTCATTACATTTATATGGCTTTTCCCCAGTGTGGATTCTCTGGTGTTTTGTAAGGTCAGAGTTCTGAGTGAAACTTCTGTTGCACCATGTACATGGATATGGTTTTTCTCCAGTGTGAATTCTCTGATGAAGAATAAGGTCAGAACTCTGACTGAAGGCTTTCTCACAACTATCACAATGATAGGGCTTTTCACCAGAGTGCACTCTTTGATGTTTAGTGAGGTCTGAACTTTGACTGAAACTTTTATTGCACAGATTACACACATAAGGTTTTTCTCCAGTGTGTATTCTTTTATGCTTTACAAGATCTGAACGCCGACTAAAACTTTTAGTACAATCAGTACATGGGTAAGGTTTTTCTCCAGTGTGGATTCTCTGATGTAGAATAAGGTTGGAGCTCTGACTAAAGGTTTTCCCACACTCCTCGCACTCATAGGGTTTTTCACCTGTATGAATTCTATGATGTTTCACAAGATCAGACCTTCGACTAAACATTTTCTCACACTGATTACAAGAGTAAGGTTTCTCTCCAGTGTGAATTCGTTGGTGATTAATAAGATCTGAAAGCCTACTGAAGGTTTTGCTACACTGATTACATGGATAGGGTTTTTCTCCAGTATGAATTCTTTGATGGAGAATAAGAACAGAGCTCTGATTAAAAGCCTTTCCACATTCATTACATTTGTAGGGCTTCTCTCCAGTGTGGATCCTTTGATGTTTAATAAGGTCTGAGTTCTGACTAAAACTTTTGCTACACTGATTACATGGATATGGCTTCTCCCCAGTGTGGATTCTCTGATGCAGAATTAAATCTGAACTCTGACTAAAGGCTTTCCCACACACATCACACTTATATGGTTTCTCCCCAGTGTGAATTCTTTGATGTTTTATAACATCAGAACTTTGACTAAAACGTTTGTTACATAGGTTACATGTATAAGGCTTTTCTCCAGTATGAATTCTCTGATGTTTAACCAGGTCTGAACGCTGGCTAAAACTTTTATTACAATGACTGCACTGATACGGTTTTTCTCCTGTATGTATCCTATGGTGTATAATAAGATCTGAGCTCTGACTGAAGGCTTTCCCACATTCATCACACTTATAAGGTTTTTCACCAGTGTGGACTCTCTGATGTTTAATAAGGTCTGAGCTCCGACTAAAACTTTTAACACACCAATTACAAGGATAAGGTTTTTCCCCAGTATGAATTCTCTGATGCAAAACCAGGGCTGAGCTGATTCTAAAGGCTTTTCCACACTTATCACATTCATATGGTTTCTCCCAGTGGGTTCTTTGGTGCTGAATAAGGCCTGTATTACAAGCAAAGTTCTGGTTACATACATTGCAGTTATGTTGTCTTTTTTTAAAGAGGTTCTGATCCTTTTCATTTGATTTATCCCCAAATTTATAGAAATCAATGTCTTCAGCATCCTGGAGAACAACCTCTCTGGAGTTGCCAAATTCTTCTGTCAACGATGCAATATTTGCTGTAATTTCTTCTTCTGATGCTGGTTCTCCATCTATAAAAATAAACAAAATCCAAGTGGAATGTATTTCTATACTATAATAAAATTTTATGTGAAACAAATTAGTGTATTTACTTACAAATATCACTACAATCTGGGAGTGCTGCAAACACTGAAAGTTACCTTCTGAGAGGATGATTAGGAAGAAACAACAAGTACTGGATCACATTAATCATTCATAGAAATGAGTTACAATATAGTCTACATGATTGTCACAGGAGATCTTGGTAGACATTTACTGTAATTAGGAAAGTGTTACTAAGTTAGAGGAAACATACAAGCAATTTATTAACACATGTAAGATAGGAAGAACAAAAATAGCCTAGAAAAATGAAAATAAGTTGGTTAGGTCTTATTTAGCTTTGTCCAGCTATTTGGACAAAGTGACTATTCTAATAAAAAGCAAAACAAAAACAAAATAAAAAAAATCTTCAGCCAACAAGTTAATGGTTAAATATTAAATGCTCTCCACAAGGGAACAAAGCAAAGACACTCATTGTTAGCACTGCTATTGAACATTTTACTACTTCTGCTCATTCCTGGGCAATGCAATAAGAAACAAAAAAAAAAAAAAAAAAAAAAAAAAAAAAAAAAAAAAAAAAAAAAAAAAAAAAAAAAAAAATCTACATCTATCTAGCTTAGTTAACTTTTTTATTGTGGGGACAAAATACCCAACATTCACAGTCAAAGGAAGAAAGATTTATTTAGCTCACAGTTTGTAGAGGTTTCAGTCCATAGTTGGCTGACTCCAAGGTGGGGTGGCATGGCAGAGGCAGTTATGTGGCAGAAGATAGTAAAAGCAACAAGAGAGGAGACATACAAGCCTTTCTGTCCCTTATACTGTATCTAGTCTACTAGGATTAAGGAGATGCCAATACAATCAGGATTAATCCTGAATCCTAGCATTACACTACAAATCAATCACACATTCTAAATTCAGTCAACTCCAAAAAAAGTCTACCTTTCATGACTACATGAGGCTTTGGGGACATGTAGACACAAACCATAATATTCCTATTTCATATGTATGTATATATTCATATTTACATATACATATTGGAAAAACTATATTAGAAAACACAAAATCTGTAAACTATCTCTTAAAGCTATTAATATTTACAATGAGATTAGTAGAGTAACAGATAATTGTATTTCTCTATATAAGCAATAAACACGTAGAATAAAAACTTCAAAACATTTTTGAAATTGCACCCCAAAACAAAATACACACAAACTGAACAAAGTACTCAAAAAAATCATTAAAAAGAAAATTATAAAATGTTAAGAGAAACTAAAGATCTAATCAATGGAAATACATACCACTATTTATGGATGGAAAGATGGTAATTTTTCCCAACTTGATTTATGGATTCAAGATAACACCAATCAAGCCCCAATTAAGCTTTTTGTAGAAATTAACATATTGAGGGGCCGGGGAGATGGCTCAGTGGAATAAGTGCTTCCTTGGCAAGCACAAGGGCCTGAGTTCAATCCCCGGTTCCACAAAAAAAAAAAAAAAAAGCATTCTTTAAAATGGGGCTGGTGGGGTTGGAGAGATGGCTCAGTGGTCTAAAGCACCTACTTGAAACAAGCTGGGCAAAGCACAGGGACCTCAGTTCGATCCCCCAGCACCACATGCCAGCCAGCCCC